ATAGATAGATAGATAGATAGATAGATAAATAAATAAATAAGCTGAGTCCTTAAACTAGTCCCTTCCCCTGCCCCGCCATTCTGAGAATAGTGTTTGGGGCAGGCTCATGCTGACTTAAGTCATTTGCAACTCGATTCCATTTCATTCAATGAGTAGTGCTCATTGCCACCCACGTCATCATTGTCAGAGCTCAATGGAACTACAAATTTCATAATCCTAATCCTGGAATACAGCACAATTTGGGAACCATGAATGGATAAGGGAATGGGAGAAGCTCTAAGACTTTGGCCTACTGGGTGGAAGATTATTGAGAAATTAGAAGTAGTTGCTACCATTATGCCATCTGATCAATGAGAAAACTGAAGCCAAAAACCACATTCATAGCTGTTGTGTGTCAGAACGGAGATTTTAACCCAGACAATCTGTCTCCAGAGTCCTTTTTCTGAACCACCTCAGAGAAAATGAAGGAGTTGCCGCTGCAGAGACTGGGGCAGTTTATAGCTGTAGAGAGCAAACTATAAAGTGAGGGGGTCCCAGGTTTGATTCTTGTACTCACAATAACTCCATCTCTAGATAAGAGGGCCAGAGTGTCATGGGTCATTGCTCTAGCCTGCTGGCTCATCAGATGGGTTCAGGTTTTGTGTGTTCACCATTTAAGAGATGTTGAATCTAGTGGAAACAGAGAACATATGGAAAATGACCTCACTGGTTAAAGACTGAAGTAAAATGCCTGACTTGATTTTTGGCCTCATCTCCTTTCCTCGTTTCTGGCTGCTCCTGTGGACATGTGGCCCATTCCCAAGGCTGCATACAGAGTAGCCTTCTGTGCACAGGGTGGTAGCTCTTGGCAGTCCTTTGAATCTACTATGCTCCATGGGGGAGAAACTGACCAATTTCAGTAGCAAGATTATCCAAATATACTAAGGTGGGGACGTTCCTAATATGTGACTACATTCCCTGCTAGGGGGAAAAAAATGATGTGGGTCATTGGAAAAATTCACTGTAAAGCCTAAATCCTCATTTGGAATATGGGATTTCCACCTCAGGTTTTTTTTATAACATAAACTCATGTGTTTTCTTTTCTCAATCAACTCTGTGAAATAAGCAAATATTATATTATTTGGATGAGAAAATGGAACCTTAGGAAGTGAATACGGGGCAAGGCCAACCTTCCAATCTGAGATCCTTTTGATTTTTGATCCATGTCTTTTATTCTCCTTGGTACTGCTCAGGCCTCCAACTGTTCATTAGCCTGCTCTACATTATGCAACTTAATTTAAAAACAAGTAAGATATACTGCCAGCAATCATGAGCTTTTCAAAAAGATGTCATCTATATGATTGATAAATCACGATACCATTATAGTTATTCAGTATTACTTAAGCATTACTTCAAATATTTTTATTTCATTAAAAATATTTAAGGAAGTCTATAAAATACTATAAACTTGTAAGATAGCTCTATTTAAAACAGACAAAAAGAAATTAAAGGATAAAACATAAAGTTAGGTAAGAAGTGAGAATATCGGTAAAGCATAAATCTGAAAATTGCCTAAAGATGAGTAACTTGTTGCACCAAACAATTCAGGAGGTCATGCAGAAGGAAAAAAAAACAGATTGAGTTTGTACTTTACTGTGTCTTCAAGGAAAACAGGTATTGTAGTTAAGATTTTGTTATAACTTGACTTGGCCAGGATTCTCAGGGATTGGGGAGTTAAAACCTAGTCATCCCTATAATGAGATCAAACACAACACAATCGCCTCCATAATGACGTTGCTATGAGAACCTATCAATTGAAATAAGTTTCCTCAGGAGTGTGGCCTGCTTCTAATATAAATCGATGCTGTGGATAAACTTTCTTCCTTTTTTGTTAGGTCTACATTTGGACATGACCATTGACCTCTGGCGCTCTGGACTTGAGCCAATAGCCCACATGTTGCCATCCGATCCTGGGAGGCACCATAGCCTGCCATCTCACCTGCCGAATTTGGGTTCATGTACCTATGCAGCCACAAACGTGTCATCTCTCCGTTGATCTTGGGTCCTTCAGCCTGTGTGGCTATGTGAACCAGAGGAAGTCTCCAGCCTAGCACCTCACTTGCAGACTGGAACTGACTTGCTTCTACCACTGTGTGAGCCATTTGCTTGATAGAGAAATAAAGAGGTAAACACACACACATTTCACCTGTTTTATTTTTCTAGAAAACTTAACCTAAAAGAACATCTGACAAAAAAACGATCATCTCTGACCCTTCGAAACGAAAATACAAACAAAAATCAAACACCTTACTGCCATCAAGTCAATGCTGACTTACAGTGACCCTGTGGGCAGAGATAGAACGTCGCCTGTGAAATTCCGATTGTAACTCTTTCTGGGGATAGAAAGCCTGGTCTTTATCCCTTACCGTCTATGAAATACATGAATAATATCTTCGAAAGAAACATTTTTGCCAGCGGTGTCTACCAAGAAACTCTACATTCAGAGATGGCCTTACAGTGCCTCTAGGTATTGGGTGATCTTATTTATTTGTCTCTATAGTTAGATAATCATTTTTTAAATACATTATGGCACTGGATTAAAATTTTTCCTGGAAAAAAATCCCCAAACTAAGAGCTCAAAAGCTCTGTAAAGATAAAAGAGCTGAACTACAACTGAGGGGCTTGGAACCCAATGTACTACTCAAAGATCCTACATGCCCTACCTTAACAGAGTTTTCCAACTCATTATGTCCATTTTCCACAATACAAAGAAAACCAAAATCAAACTCACTGCCATGAAATCCGTGACAGTGCTTGGTGACCCCTAGCACAGGGAAGAAGTGCCCTGTGGATTTCTGACAGAGACTATCACTCTTGACCGAAGTAGAAAGCCCCATCTTTCTCCCACACAGTGGATTGACTTCAAACTGCTGATCTTTCAGTTAGCATCCCAACCCATAATCAATACACTAGCCAACTGTGTTACATTGCCACCAGCGCTAGCAGGGAAGAATCCTACACACGGTCCGTGAGTCCTTGTCAACTTCTGATAGAAAGGAGTATCCCATGATCAGCCATGCTGATCTTTCATCAAGGTTGTCTGCCGAACCCTGCAGATCTGTAGACAAGACACAGTCTCATCCAAGAAGAACTTCTAGATCCAGGAGGAGAGAGACATTCGCATAGACAATGACGCAGCAGGGGGGCTGAAAAACTCCTTCATCACTTAATTGTACTTTCCATGAACATTTTGACACCCCCTGACATTGACAATCTCATGGGTAAAGGGAAGATAAGACCCATTATCCTAACTTGCGAGGCTAGAGATGGATTCCCTGTGGACTTGATGCTTCCTTGTAGTCATGGATTAAATGTCACAGGTAGGTGAGATTTCTCATGGAAAGGATAGCATATCCAAGGCATGTGGATAATAAAATTGATGTTTGGGCACCAGTGAGCATTTGAAGTCACAGAGGAGAACTGATTAGAAGTTTGATCAGACTGACATTTAGTAAGGCTTTCATGGTAAAATTTAAAATTGGTCCCCTTAAACAATTTAAAAATCTATGACACTTCAGTTTTAAAGAGATATCCTAGATGTGTGACTAGCATTTGAGTGAAGGTCATGAGAACCACACCTTCCATTTGCATGCATATAGGCTCTGACACCATATTGCCAGGAGAAGGAATCGGCCAGAAGCAAAGTGCAGGGCTCCACCACTATGGCCTGGATGCTGTCTTTAGGCTCACCCACCATTTACCGGCTATGTCTTACTCACTTGAACTTGTGACTGACCATTTTCCCTCAGACACAATGATTAAAAAAAATTTTTTTAATTGAGGAAATATCACACAGTGTTAGATTTCCAGGATGTACTCCCTCCTGGGAAGAGCTGTTGGATGTTGGACCTTGGCTTCCTAGTCTGGTCTTGGGCTAGCCCCACGCTCCATGGTGAATATGCAGCTCCCCTGGCCAAGACAAAACAATGTGTTCCAACTTACTTGGGTAGGCAAGTAATCCTAAAGTGAAAGATTTCTCTCTCTCTCTCTCTCTCTCTCTCTCTCACACACACACACACACACATACATACACACACACACCATGAGTTGATAAAAGTCTTTTAAGCAGAAAGATAATTTTGCCAAAAGAATGAAGGGACTTTCAAAAGTGACTTAGAAGTTGCTAATAGCCATGTGAAACCTTTGCTTTGTGATTCTAATAGCTTCTTTGCAATACGTACAAATAAATCGAGGGTTTCTTTTCCCTAATATTAGTAAACTGTGTTGATTCTTGAGTTTGAACATCAAAAATCAAACACACACTGGAAGATAATGGCCTCTGGAAGTTGAGGAGAAATCATAAAAGAATTTCATTCCAATCAGTAGCAATCGAATACATATAGGTGTCAGGGTACTTGTTATACAATTGCGAGCAATCTGAGATTTCAAAAGTCAGACTGAATGCATGTATAAAACATATTCTACAGCTGAAATAAATGGCTGGCTCTACAAATTTAATTCTCCTTAAAATTTGGGGTAAGGTCTTTTATATTTTCCACCCACGGCAGCAAGGCCAATTACAATTCATAGGGGCCCTATAGGCTAGAGTGAACCATTCCATCGAGTTTCCAAGACAGTTATGGAAGCATACTGTTACATCTTTGTACCATGGAGCAACTGGTGAGTTCAAACCGTCAACCTTCTGGTTTGTGGTTGAGTGCTTTGTCTGCTATGTCATCATGTGTTCTTTTTAATTTTCAGTAAGATATTTTGTTTTCTACAAGAAGATAAAATTTTAGCCCAGCAAGCTTTCCTAAACTCAGGTTTCTGCTCGCATGTCACATTTGTTGTGATGGTATTCATTCAAGCAAATCGGTAGGGGTACCACTGAGTGGAAGTCAGTGGCTTGGGACGCCCAGAGACCAGAAAGAACTCTAACACATGCTAGCACTCATTACCCAGCTTCCTTATTGGCATAGTAAATTTCTCTCATTCTACTTAAAGCAGCCTTGACTCAAATGGCGGTAAATGATTTTACACTGCACAAAATGTGCTGAAGTATTTATATTTAGTTCCTGACAAACCACACAGGAATCGTGCTTTTCTATGAAGAAAGAGTTTGTGTCTGCTTTGGGTCTTTGTTGCTCAATTTTGACACTCTTTTCCAACTCCACATTCTCCAAGAAAGTGTAAATCCCGACTCGGGAAAACGAGGTGTGGAATATGTGCTGTGGTTGATGACGTCACCTGGGGAGAGGGCAGTAAATTGTGAGAATCTCTGCACACAGATGCTGGCTTCTAAGGTGCCAAATTTTCTAGCAGTATATTTAGAGCTTGAAAAGTCATCATTTGAGGAATAGGAGCATCCCCGCTGCCTAGCTGCAAGTCATGCTGGGGTCCTGAGGGAGTGCCCGGCACCAGCAGTCCAATGAATACAAGATTGTACACCTGAAACTGCTACTGATTTGGGCCAAATACTTGTGATTGGTGTATTGCAGGCCCCAATTATACAGTATGTTGTTGTTAGCTAATGACTGCCTAGGCTACTTTCACTATTGAAGGGCCTATCTTCATAGGCGACTTTGTGTAAAGCCCCAGAAAGGTTTATATGCTTGTAATTCCATTCGTATAAGACAATTCCAAAGCTGATT